TTATTGAACTGGAAGATTATCTTTTAATGAATGATTTCTTACTAACCTCCTCTTCAACACAGTCCCTACCTTTGAGATATTCACAATTTCCTGTTAATACAGAATGCATATCAATAACTAAAATACAACAGAGTACTACGGTAAAATGATATTCAAAGTGTCATCCAAGATGTCACAATTGGTCTTTCCTCATCTGGAGGAAAGAAGAATGAAGAAAACAAAGACACATGGACACAATTAGTTTAAGGGACTAGTGGACCACATGAACCTCAGCCTACATGACCCTGAGACCAGAACTAAATGGTATGTGGCTACCACTGTCAGCCTCTTGGAAAGGGATCAAAATAGGGGATCTTGGATTATAGTGGAAGAAAAATGTGAAACAATACTCAAAATTATAAATAAGACCAGGCTTACTGGTCTGATAGAGACTTGTGAAACCCCAAAGACTATGGCCCCTAGTCAACCTGCAGGCCTGGAATTGAACTCACTCCTGTGGCTTCCAGAAAACAATAGGAGTACGGTATTACAATAAGCCTTTTTCCCACTGGAAATGAACAATTACACTTAGGTAGGCACATTCCATAGAACAATCAACCACAGGAGTTCAGAAGGGCCACATTTGCACAGGGAAATAATTTAGAGGGCAGGAATTCACACGAAAGAAGGACACAGGGAAAAGGTAACCACAGGGAAGAAGTAGAAGAGAGCTGCTTCATAATTATGGGTATTGCAGTCAATGTCGTGAAACAAAATGTGTATGAATTGTTGTATGGAAAATGCATTTGCTCTGTAAACTTTCACCCAAATCACAATTTAAAAAATAAAATAAATTTCAAAGTAGTATGGGAATGCAGAGGTGAGCGAGAAACTTTTCCTTTGGGAATGAGGAAGTCTTCTAGAAATCAGGAAGTCCTCACAGAGACGGATACGTTCATTTGGCTCTCAAAGGATAATAGGAAGCTCATATAAATAAGGTAACGAAAAAGCATCTAAGCAAGGAGTCGAGTGTTTGAAAAGGCATGAGGAGATAGGAAAGATGACAGAATATTAAGAAAACTGGAAGTAACCAAAACTAGTGGAGCACAGAATATTTTGTGAATAGTTGAGCTTTATAAGGACCATATTATGAAGGACCTTGTGTGCTTGCTTGAGTACATTGTTGGTGCTAGTAAATAGTGAGTGTTGACTGAAAAAATAAATCTTGAAAGCAATGGCAATACATTAAAGGGCTTCAAGCAAGAGAGTCTCTTGATCCAATTGCATTTTAAATAAATCAGAGAAGAAAAAGTGTAGAACCTAAGAGAATATTTAGCAAGCTATGGCAGCTCTTTGGGCAAGAAATCATTTAGTCTATCCCCTCATTTCTAAGATGAGGATGCTGTGATTCCAAAGAAGTATTTTTTTTTTTTTAATTGTTGTTGTTTTTGTTTTCAGGTATCAGAGCTGCTTAGTAGAAAAATGAGCCTCTCTCTTTATGCCCAAACATCTTTTCTACTATGTCTTTACTTGAAAATTCATTAGCACTACCTTAGACTTGTGCTTGTTATGTGCCGTCGAGTCAAACCCGACTCATAGCGACCCCTTCTTGGGTTTCCGAGGCAGTATCACTACGGAAGTAGGATTGCCCAACCTTCCTTCCGAGGAGTGGCTGGTGGGTTTGAACCGCCAGCCGTCTGGTTAGCAGGCAAGTGTCTTAGCCACTATGCTACCAGAGCTTAGCATCATGATAAGTGGAGAAAAGATAGAGGTTGTCAAAGAATTCACATGGCTTGGTTCTACAATCAGTGCCAGTGGAAGCAGCAGTCAGGGCATTAGACGATGTGTAGCACTGGGTAGGTTGGCTGTAAAGGAACTCTTTCAAGTGCTGAGGAGCAAGGATGTCTCCTTGAGGACTAAGGTGCGCCTGACACAGGGCATGATATTTCCAATTGCCTCACATGCATGTGAGAGCTGGACAATGAATAAGAAAGACCGAAGAAGAGTTGATGCTTTTGAGTTGTGGTGCTGGCGAAGAATGCTGAAAGTACCATGGACTGCCAACAGAACTAACAGATCTGCCCTGGAGGAAGTGCAGCCGAGATGCTCCTTGGAAGCGAGGATGACCAGACTTCATCTCACCTACTTTGGTCATGTTGTCAGAGGGAACCATTCCCTGGAGAAGGATGTCATGCTTGATAAGGTGGAGGGTCGAGGAAAGAGGGGAAGGCCTTCGATGAGATGGATTGACATGGAGGCTGCGACGATGGGCTCAAGTGTAGCAAGGATCATGGAGCTGGCGCAGGATTGGGAGGTGTTTCGTTCTGCTGTGCATGGGGTCGTTATGAATCCGAAGCGACTCGATGGCACCTAACAACAACAACAACAGCAACAGACTTGTGTTATCTATAAAAGTATTTCTATTTATAATGGTATAATGGTGCAATTATGTTGGTAATTGTGGACAGATATAATTAGCTAAAAATGTTTCAATGGGATTTTGCTGTTTTATAGTTATTTTTTAGGGAGACATAATTTGATCTTTGGTAATTTAAGGATTAATGACTTGTAAATCAGCAAACAAAAGCAACTTACAGTGGCTGAAGAACTGGTTTTCCTTTATTTTTTCTTAACAAACAAACATAATAAATGTAATTGTTATTTCATAGAAGCAGTTATTTATTTACATTTTTGTAGAGGCAGTGTTGTCTCTTTCTCATGAAATTATCTGGCTATAAAGCCAGTCACTACTTGTCTCATATGTCCAGCCATTTCCAGAATCCTATCTCCTACCTCCTTTCCTCGCTTCCTTTTCTCACTTTGCATCCCCTCTTTCACTTCCTTCCTGCATTACATAAGCTACAGCTGCTAAGAAGGTGGATTAGATTATTTATTAAACCAGAAGATTTTCTTTTTCTCGTTCAGCTCATTCCTTAGTGCACTGAGACTAAAAATCATGATTTCTGTCTCAAATACTTAACGTGCACTTATATTTTATCATTTGAAGACCTACTAGGAAGCAGGTCTAATTTTAACATAAAGGCAAGGCAGTAATTTTGAATCTTAAGTCTTGCTTTCTAGCCTAGATTTTGCTTCCAATTTGAACTATAAACCAGTTGGTACTACAAACCGTATTGCTCTCTAGACACTTTGCTTAATCTGAAAATGCATAATAATCTCACCCCAGTGCTCATTCCATACCTCTAGACTAAGCCAATGCCAATTTTCCCTGCCTTTTCTAATTTGCTGTTTTCTGTTCTTCTCCTGTCTAATTCCCTGAAAACTGACCCTTTACTTCAATTCCCAATCACTGTTCCAACCTTGTTTTTACTTTGATAATGAATCTGGTAACTCTTCTCCTGTTTACTGATATTTAGTGTATATTATTCTACTCTCGCTTTGTAGACAATTTAGCTCCCTCTATTCACAGTTGCAGTCTTCTTGTTGTTGTTGTTATGTGCCTTCGAGTCAGCCCCGACTCATAGCGACCCCTCCTTGGGTTTCCAAGGAAGTATCACTATGGAAGTAGATTGCCCAACCTTCCTTCCAAGGAGTGGCTGATGGGTTTGAACTGCCAGCCTTCTGGTTAGCAGTCAAGTGCTTTAGGCACTATGGTACCAGAGGGACCCATACTGGTAGGACAAACCATGTGGTCTCTCCATTAGGAAAGGAAGATCTGACTGGAAACTTTTGGCTTGCTTTGATTGGCTGGTTTACTGGGGAAAATGCTCAGGCCAGGATGATAGTGAAGCCAGAGTAGTTCTGAACTATAACCTACAAGCCAATCCATTGCCGTCAAATTGATTTCAACTTATAGTGACTTTATGACAGAATAGAGCTGCATCATGGGGTTTCACAGGGTTTCTAAGACTGTAAATCTTAATGGAAGCCAACTGTCACATCTTTCTCCCACAGAGAAACTTGTAGGTTCAAACTACTGACTTTTGGTTAGAAGGGAACTTCTTAACTGTGAAATGGACAATGGTGGAACTTCTTAGGACCTCTGTGAGACAAAACAGAATTCTTTCCAATGTTCCTTTATTCTATCATTCCCTACCCTGTGCCAAGACTAAATCCAGTCTCAGATGACCATTTCCCATATGTAATTATTGAGTGCATTTTGGATCCATACATCTCACTAGATCACTGTGGTCACCCACCTATGCAACATAATACCAGAGTTCCACAGCTCAGAAAGCATAAAAGAACAAAATGAAAATTGGAAAATCTATAGCTTCATCTGGCAGCTCTGGTAGCATAGTGTCTAAGGCACTTGACTGCTAACCAGAAGGCTGGTGGTTCAAACCCACCAGCCACTCCTCGGAAGGAAGGTTGGGCAATCTACTTCTGTAGTGATACTGCCTCGGAAACCCAAGGAGGGGTTGCTATGAGTCAGGTCCGACTCAACGGCACAAAACAACAACAACACATAACTTCCTCTGCTAGACCTTTGCCAAATATCCACTAATAACCTGTATACTCTAAAGACCTATTGAAAAATTCTAATGCTCTCATAACTGTGGTTTACATTTAGTCCACCATCAAAATGGCATGGTATAAATTGAACCCTTTATTGATTTATTAATTGATTTAAGGAAAGCTTGGTCATGAAATATTTAACCAATAAAAATAGTACTAATAAGATTATCCCCTGAAGTAATTTTTAATGAAGCAGAGTTTATTCAAGTCATGTCTTCTGAGAATAAAAGTGGACAGAAGTAAACAAACAAAAAACAGGTGGGAAAAATATGACATGTCCTTCATGTCTCCCCTAATGTCCACATGCTCTACAACTGTCTGTTCCCTTCATCCTGGGATGATGTTAATCTTCTGTTTATTTTGCTATTGTACATCCAAGTACATGTTGTTCACTCAGAGATTGCCCTCTAAAAGTTGGTCTAGACCTGTTTTTTTCTCACCTCAAAAAAGTAAAGGAAAGAAAGTGTGTGTGTGTGTGTGTGTGTGTGTGTGTCCTGTTGGTGGTGTTGGTGGTTAAAAAGCAAGTTGGAACTTCCTCTTTGAACAGCTGTCTTTTCCCCTCACACAAGGGAGATCTCATTTTGCTTGAGATTGTATGCAGTTGAAACCACGCCACATACCAAAGAGAGGGTATGATGGCTAAGAAGCCCCCTAAACCAGCCCCTCGCAGGATCTTCCAAGAAAGGTTAAAAATTACCGCTCTACCCTTGTACTTTGAAGGTTTTTTATTAGTCAAGCGGCCAGAATACCAGGTAAGTATATAGACAAAAATGCTAAACTAGAAGCTTCTGTCTTAATACAAAATGTATTTCATGATGATGCAATGTGATAAGGACTTCTGTTTCTGTTCGGATTAATCTCTCTTCTTTTCCTTGTGCTCAGAAAATGTTATTCCAATTTTACATACTTTAAATATAGTGTATGCCTTCTATATAGGTATATATAATAAGATTCTAGACCATTAATTTACTAATATAAAAAATTCAATAATCTAAACATCTAAAGAATTCATTTAAATATCACAGAAGATTTCAAATGTTAAAAGATAAAATATTTTCTATATTGTCTCCACAATTTACTACTGTACTTCCAAGATCATATATACCATTAAGATAAAGTAATATTATGATTGAAATTAAACTTTCTGTTCCTGTTCTCAGTTGTATATAAAGAATAATTTATATTTATAAAGCTTTATCAATGATAATTATATACAAAATGGCAAATTTTTGTAAAAAAAAGTACAAATGATAAAACTGCTACCATTTCCTACTATGGTAGAGACGGCAGTGGACCAAGGAGCATTTTGCTCTGTTTTGCACAGGGTTGCCAAGAGTTGGAGCCAACTCGATGGCTGCTAACAACAGCCATGGCTATTGTTATAATAAGGATAGTTCCTTTGCAAGATAATATTTAGGGTGCTATTTTAACTAGTATGTACACTAAGCCACATTAATCCATTTGCTCTAAGAAAATTCACAAAGCAGTCTATATTTTAAAAATGTCAACAATGAAAAACCTACAATTAGCTAAAATCAGTGCTTTAAAAATAGTAATTGTGGCTAATTTTGAAATAAATGGGAGAAATACACATGAATGTGATTGTTAGTAAAGAAAAAATAATTTATTTGCTTAAATTTTATGAAATTTTAATATTAATGGAACTAGAAAATTTTAATATGTTCAGAAATGCCATAAGAAATGTTTAATAAGAAGAACACATATTTTCTGAAGATTTCTTAAACATATAGAAAAGTTGTGTATGTGAAGACATTGGTAATAGCACATTCGTATTTCTTGTATATATAATTAGATCATTTAATATTTAAGAGTAAACATGTATATAAATATAATTTATATTCTATTATGGGTGTTAAAAATGTACTAATAATATTTGTCAGTTACTGCTTTGATTGCATAATCAGGAGAGACCAATCCCTAGACCAGGACATCATGTTTGGTAAAGTAGGAAACAAAGGAAACTCTCCATAACATGGATTGACAATGGCTGCAAAATTGGGCTCAAACCTATCAAAGATTGTGAGGATGGTGCAGGATCAGGCAATGTATTATTCTGTTACATTCAAGGTCACCATAAGTTGGAGCAAACTTGACAGCAAATAACAACAACAATTTAGGACTTTTTTAGTTGACTACTTAGCTTATTCTTACATGTTTTTAAAGTAAATTTAATCTTGTCATGACAAATTAGAAACATTGGTACACTATGCCAGGAAAAGGGAATAGGGAAAAGAAAATCTTTAATTTGAAATTTACATTTGGTTATTCTTTGAATGTTTTCCAAAGTATTTAAAATAACTGTTTCAGATACCAGCTTCCTTGTAATGTTTAAAGAAGACATGATATTGGTGTGAGTAGCAGGAACAACAAGAGTTTTAGAATCTCAATAAAATGAACCTTTGATTATTGGTTTGCCACTTTAGTTCAAGAGCTTGTGCAAATTACAATCTCCCCAAGACTCAATTTTCTCATTTTGAAATGAGAATACTACTTGTCTCCCAAGGTACAATGCCTGGGATACAGCAGGTATGCAGTTAATTCATTTATTCAAACAACATTTATTGAGTATCTCCTATGCACTAAAGCATCACACTCAGTTCTAGCAATACAAGCTTGAATAAGCGTAAAGAATTTTGTTTTCAAGAGACTTACAGTTTAGTAGGGGTGATGAAACTGAGTGGACTGTTTAGATTCCCTTAGAAGGCATGCTTTGAAATGGAAAGAAAAACTATAGGCATGAATATATCTGATGAAATTAACTCGTCTGTCCATTTGAATTCATAGCAAAGGATCTTTTACTTGCATAGTAGGGAAAAGAAAGCAAGAGGGAAAAATAATGCCTACTTATAGGTGGTTTCAAGGATTAAAATGGATGACACATATAAAATGCCTAGCTCACACTAAAGATTAGATTCATTCTCTTCCCATTTCATTGTTTATCATATATTATTAACATAATCAGATTCTGGTCCACAAATAATATGGCTTATAGGACAGCCACAGTGATAATTAGAAAATAGAACATATGAGGAAAATTTAAGGAAAATGAGTGGGATTTCTCAGGAAGCAGCCACAACGTGTCAGGGAAACTTTGAAAGGAAAATGAACCCGGGGTATAGCATAAGGTCATTGTTGAAGCTAATGAGCTGCAGGAAGATGAGAAACTCTGCAGAATGTTAAGAATAGTCTCCAGTGGAGGAATTCAAGATATTTAATCTAGAAAAAGTACAACTGATAAATAACCTAGTCTATGAAAGGATGATTATGTGTTGAGAGGGGTTATGTTGCTGTTTTTGTAACAGGCATACAATTAAGATGGTATTAAGAGAAGGCTAGGTACCAAGCCCCCTAGAGCCAGGAAAGGGAGGGAGCAGCCAGGGACCACAAAGTGGCAGGTTCCAGGTAGGAATTAAGTAAAGTGAGGGTGCAGAGGTTTCTGACAGTTAAGGGAGACAAACTTGTCTGTCAGTTTGTCATCCTGTTGGGCTTGTACGTTGCTGTGAGGCTTAAGGCTGTGCCACTGGTGTTTCAGATGCCAGCAGAGTTGCACATGACACACAGGTTTCAACGCAGCTTATAGACTAAAACAGACTAGGAAGAAGGAAGAGGCCATCCACTTCTCAAAAATTGGCCAGGGCAAACCTTAAGAATAGCAGAGAAACACTGTCTGATACATTACTGGGCAACTTTATGAATAACTTGGAGACACTGTCTGACACAGTGCAAGAAGACAAGCCCCTTGGGTCGGAATGCACTCAAAATAGGACTGGGAAAGAGCTGCCTCATCAAAGTAGAACCAACCTTAATGATATGGATAAAGTAAATCTTTCAGGACTTCCATGTGCTCACATGGCAGGACTCAACATGAGGAGAAACAGCTGCAAACATCCATTAATAATTGGAACATGGAATGTACAAAATATGAATCTAGGAAAATTGGAAGTTGCCAAAAGTGAAATGCAATGCATAAAGATTGATATCCTAGACATTAGTGAGCTGAAATGGACTGGTTTGGGCCATTTTGAATCACACAACCATATGTTCTACTATGCCAGGAATGACAAATTGAAGAGGAATGGCATGGCATTCATCATCACAAAAGGTGTTTCAAGATCTGTCCTGAAGTATAAGGCTATCAGTGATAGAATAATATCCATATGCCTATAAGGAAGACCCATTAATACTACTATTATTCAAATTTACACACCAACCACCAAAGCCAAAGAGGGGAAAATTAAAGATTTTTATCAACTTCTGCAGTCTGAAATTGACCAAACATGCAATCAAGTTGTGCTGCTTACCACTAGTGATTAGAATGCAAAAGTTGGAAATGAAGAATCACCAGCAGTTGGAAAATTTTGCCTTGGTGACAGAAATAACACTAGAGATTGCATGATAGAAATTTGCAAGACCAACAACTTATTCATTGCAAATACCTTTCTCAAAAACACAAACGGCAGCTATACATGTGGACTTTGCCAGATGGAGTACACAGGAATCAGATTGACTACATCTGTGGCAAGAGGCGATGGAAAAGCTCAATATCTTCAGCCAAAACAAGGCCAGGAGCTGATTGTGGAACAGACCATCAACTGCTCATATGCAAGTTCAACTTGAAGTTGAAGACAATGAAAACAAGTCCACGAGAACCAAAATATGAGCTTGAATATTGCTAAAAAGGCAGGGAAGCCACATCTTCTGACCTCCTGTAACTGCACAAGAGGAAGACAGAATCACTGTCAGTAACCCAAGGCCTATTAATGTAAGGCCAGACATGCTGCCTCCCTCCAGCCCTTTTACCAACTGTTCCTCCCAAAGCACCCACCACCTCTCTCCTGGGTTCAATAATTCACTGCCGTGGCCGCACAGAATTCACAGATTATGGGGTTTATTAGGGAAGCACCAGGCTACAATTCAAGTTCACAAAAAATGCTCAGACTCTCTCCCAGCCCACAGCATCTCTCCCAACAGTGAGTGTCCCTTGGTGTCTTACTCAGCAATGCGTTTCTCTTGCGTGTCTCTCCCACCAGCACATGTCTCTTTCAGGAGCACATGTCTCTTTCAGTAGCATGTCTTCCTCAACCTGCAGTCAGAGAGAGACTTCTTCTGCCTCTAGGAGATCTCCTTTTGAGCCTGGCAGAGTGGCCAAACTAACCAATCATAACATCAGAATTCTAAGCACCTAAGAGAGAGCAGGAACCTCCCAGAACACTGCTTTGTGTTACACCCAACAGAAATACCCCAGGTGGATAACTTTTACAATCAGGAGCTCCTCAGTTGCTCACAGCAAATTCCACCACAGAATTTACAAAGACTTATGGCTAGAAAAGCCATACCAGGTAATTTACTACAGTGCAAATATATTCCTCCTGAATTTAGAGGCCATCTAGAGAATAGATTTGATGCATTGAACACCAATGACCAAAAACTAGAAGAGTTGTAGGATGACATCAAGAGCATCATCCATGAAGAAGGCAAGAAGTCAATAAAAATGTGAGAAAGAAAGAAAAGACTAAAATGGATGTCCGAAGAGACTCTGAAACTTGCCCTTGAGTGAAGAGTAGCTAAAGCCAATGGAAGAAATGACAAGATAAAAGAGCTGAAGAGAAGATTTCAAAGAACAGCTTGAGCAGACAAAGCCAATTACTATAATGAAATGTGCAAAGACCTGGAGTTTGAAAACCTAAAGGGAAGAACACGCTGAGCATTTCTCAAGCTGAAAGAATTGAAG